CACAGGCAACACCCGAGTCAGTGAGGGCGAGTACCTCACAGGCAACACCAGAGACTGCAAGGGAGAGTACCTCACAGGCAACACCAGAGTCTGTGAAACCCAGTTCAGTGCTCACTGCAGTTGCTGCACTTCCTGCTGTCACTGTACCCCTTACCTTTACAGAGACACAACTGTCTCCCAGCCCAACAGCAGCACAGATGGCCTTTCACAGCTGCATCAACCCAGCTCAGCACCACTGTGAGATCTACCACTAGAATGGAGACTTCCACACTCAGGTAAGAACCAGAGGATGAGAGCAAATGGAGGAAGCCTGCTGTTTTCTAGGCTAAAAAAACTAAAAGAAAAAGAAAAACAACACCAATGCAGACAAGGTGAGCTCAAGAAGCAGAAAGAACACAGGTATCTTGACAGGCTAGGTGGCTGAAACCTAAACCTCATAAGAGGTGCCTCTTGCCCCAGAACTCCTACTTTTCCAGATGAAAGATTTTTACACATTCCTGAACTTACCAGGAGCAGTAACTGTGACCCAGTTGTCTGAAGAACTACAAATATACAAAAAGAGCATAAGAAAAGTTTTTATCTAGGGAACATCCAAGGTAACAAGGGCTGTTCCCTTGGATCTGAGCCAAGGTCAGAGTGAACAATCTTGCTGCTCAAGGGCAGTCACCCCAGTGCTCACCTGACTGCTCCACAGGTCTGAGATCCACAGCTGTCAACAGGTTCAAACACTCCTCACAAAGCCTCAAGCTGCAGCTTTCATTCTCGTTAACGTGGAAATGGCCGTCCCACTTCACAGAGAGTATTTCTCACTAGTTTCCAAGGTTCCTGCGATGTGGCAACATTAACTTAAGAACATTAATTTTTAAAAAATCATTCCACTAAATGAAATTTCACTGCAGTGGGATATGTGGCTGACCCCTACATTGAAGCTACCTTAAAGAGAAACCAGGGGAAAGGGTCTCTATCATCACATATACATACGCATTTGTGCCAATGCTTATCCTCCATCCCAATGTCCTCAACACTTAAGTCTGCAACAAACTAATGTTCCCTCTCAAAGTCAAAAAAGAAAAAAGACAAGACACCAGGCTTCTTCCTCTATTTGCTACTTCCCATCTTTCTCCTACTGCTTGATGCAATGCCCTCTAAACAAGACTTCCTTAGCATCCAGGCAGACAGAAGAAGGAAAAGGAATCCTGCTTGTCAGCTTCTACTAGGAGATCGAATGTCAGTCAGCTCAGGAGCTCAATAAAATGCTTTGTGTGTGGCAATGACACATCCAGGGTTCAGTGGACCTGCTGACATTCAGGCCTACAGATAGGCCCTGCCACTGCCACTTATGAATTGTCCCTGGGTAAATGGGGAACTTGACGGGAAAGACAAGCACATGTGCTCTCTGGCTTTCCCTCTCTGCTAGCAAGTGGTTCTGCATCACTCTCCCCCAATTCACTTGTTTGGTACAGAAATGAGGAAGATTATGTGCCTCACTATTTTTTTTTAAAGATGTATTTCTCCCAGCCTACAGACGGATGATAAATACTGGTAGTAATTTATCTTTTCTAGGTGAAGAGCTAAGGTGTATGGAAAAAAGCACAGAAAAGATGAGAAGCAAAAGGCAAGTTTTTATGGGAGATGGACAATCACAGAGAGTGTGAAACAATGCTTAGACTTGAAAATCCTACTTTTAAAATTCCAGGTAAATTACTGCCTTTGGAGTGTGTGTATGTGTGTGTGTGTAGGGAGAGGGTTGCCTGTAGGAACTGCTGCCCCCAGCAATAGCAAAGGAGGATATCCCCTACCAGAAGATGCACCATTACATAAGAGCAGAAGTTCAATCACCACACCCCAGAGAATGGCTGGGAAACCAAAGTGCCAGCCTGGATCTGTAACACCTCATTCTACCTTTCTTTCTCTTATATCTAACCAAAGTTTAGATTTGAGAAGGCAGGCCTCAGTAAGTCAGACTACTGCTATTTGACAGTGACTTCACTCTCACTGAGCTTCCTGGGACTTGCTCATGTCTAGTTGCAGATAAAGATTTATTTCATCTGCCATTTCTACTGAAGAACCTAAAAAAAATCACTGTAAACAGGAAGTCCTATCTATCCAGCCTCAAACCAATACTGTCTTCCTCAAGCAGCAAATCACCATTAATGGAAGCTAACAACATAAACTAAAATGTCTTGAAGACTGGAGTTCCAAGCAAGCATAGCTGGATCCTGTTTTATTCATTGCAGTGTCCCAATACCCAGCACAGCGCCTGGTATACATTCTGTAACACATAAATACTCCTGAGTACTGAATGAAATAGATAAACGTTATCCAAACATACCACAAGTATGTACCTTGGAGAAAGGAATGCTCAGGGTCTGAGAAACAGCATGAAGAAGTGTTTTAAGACATTGAAGAAAGACTCCAGTTTCAATTTTAGCAACTAGGAGTTCAGAGTGTGGACTCTCTACCACTAGCTACTTTTGTGACCTGGGCAAGTTATTTAATGTGTCTGGCTTCAGTCTCAACTGGAAAAGTGGCCATAGTGACAATGTCTACTTCAAAAGTCTGTTATAAGCCAGATCAAGAAAGCAGTGAGCCCCAGCAGCTCGCTTATACCTAACATAATGAATTTTAAGGCCTCTCACCTTAAAGCCAAGGTGAGAGGACTGCTTGAGGTCAGGAGTTTGAAACCAGCCTGCGCAAGAGACCCCCATCTCTACAATAAATAGAAAAATTATCCTGGCATAGTGTGGAGTGCCTATAGGTGGCTGAGGCAAAAGAATTACTTGAGCCCAGGAGTCTGAGGTTGCTATGAGCTAGGTTGACGCTTCTGCACTCTAACAGGGGTAACAGAGTGAGATCCTGTGTGCTCACATACACACACAAAAGTAAAGCTCTTAGCACAAAGCTTGGTACACAATAAAGTCTTCAAGAACTCTTCCATAGCATTACTATTGTTGCTTGGTTAAATACCTCCTTTACTGAGGTGCATACATATCCTCCAAACTCTGAAAATTTTTATTTCTGATTGAATATGCATTTAGTTAAAAATGTAAAGCTCAGACAACTCACAATTGAGTGAGTTGTCTCAACTCACAATGCCAAGCACATGTCTCTACTAGTCTCCACTAGATGGTGACAATCTGGGTGTGGAATTCCCAAAACTGAAAAGGTGTGTGTGTGCATCGTTCATACATATAGATATATTTTTTACGACAGAGAAATGAAAACAGCAAGAAATGAATTAGCCCGTTAAGAGTAGAAAGATACAATCCTGTGTAGATTTGCAAAAGGAGTAAATACCTGAGGTCTAACTGAACTGGGTAATCTTACTGCACCTCTGGACAGAGCACACACATCCATTTAGCAAGAGTAACAAAGCCCAGCATGTCGCCTGCCACTGAGAGAAAATTCCTGTGGGAACAGCAGCATTAGGCCTCTTTACCCAGACCCAGACTTCCCTCTAACCAGCCAAAGACTTCGTTTTGACGCCTCTTTAAACCTGAGTTTTGCTGTCCTCATAACGATCTCCCCTCTCCTTAAACTTGTTAAGGTAACTTACTCCACTTATGCTGCGGGAGAGTCAAGCCCACCCTAAGATTTGGAGTCTCTAAAAATAAACCGTAAAAAAGAAAGACTAATGTACGCACACGCTTTTTAAAAAAGACGTGATTTCGGTGAGTTTCAGCCCAGTTAATGAGAAAGTTTTTGAGATTAAAGAGCAGACGAGGTGAGGGGGCTCCAGCAAGCTCCCGTGCTCACACGCACACGCGGGCTCCGAGACTTCCTCAGGAAATCCACCTCTGCTAAACCAGCCCTGCCCCAGCGCAGGACCTGCAGCTTAACTCGGCTTGAAAGAGTAACAGAATAAAGCGGGCCCCTGCCTACCTCCTCCGCACCGATCCCGCAAAGTATCCGATCTCCCCGCGCTGCTTGGGCAACGACGCAGGACAGCACGCCCCGGCCTGCGGGTCACGAAGCTCCCGGACGCAAAGCAGCCGTCCGTTCTCCCGGGGCCGGGGTACAGCCCACACCGCCGCCCAGCACTACCGCCGGGCCGGGCCAAGCCACGCCACCGCAAGGCTCCCGGTGGCGCTGCTCGCGGTCGGCAAACAGCCGGCCGGCACTGGGAAGCTCGGGGAGCAGCTGGAGCCGGCCCAGGCTCCGGCCAGCACCCCTCCTCTCGGGCGGTGCGCACTAACCCTGAGCCCCTGACAGCCGGCCCGGAGCGCAAGTGACACAATGCCGGCCCGGTAGCCCCCCGGCCGCAGTGACAACTCACCCGGGGAGCAGGAAGAGATCTCCGGGAGGGGGGCGCTCCTAGCTTCCACGCCACAGTATCCGCTCCGCCGCCTGTGCTCGCCCGCAGCCCTTTCGGGTCTAGGCGAGGCCCCGTGTGCCCTTGTCTGCCTCGCGCTGGCGGGCGCTGCAGGAGGAAGAAGCAGGCGGGAGGGAGGGAGTCGGCGAGGGGGTCGCCGGTCTCGGAGAATGGAACCCGGCGGCGGTAGCTCCCTCGTCACTGCCCCAGCTGTACCGTGCGGGCGGGGGAGGCCCGTGGAGGGAGGGGGAGGGGGAGGGGCGGGAGGGGGCGGAGCCAGACGCACACGCAACTTGCGCCAGCGTCGCGCCGCCGCGACCGCCCCGCCGGGAGGCCCCACACGCACGCGTCGCGGGCCGGACTGTGCGCCCGCGGGAGGTAAGATGGCGGTGGGAGGGGGGCCTTAAAGGGACAGTCGCGCTGACTGAGCTGCCTTGGACCAGGAGGTGGCATCGGCTCCCTAGAAGCGCCGCGTTAGCAGTGCACTCTGCAGTTCGTTTACTATTATGATTTGGATTATCTGCAAAGGATGAATTGCTCTCAAGTTTATGAGGCTCTCCTGTTGCCTTCTTAGCTCTTGAAGCGCTGGCCCGAACTATCTCAGAAGCGGCTTATTATCGCCCTATTAAGCCCGTACTCCTCACACTACGGTTTGCAGCCTGCTAACCTTATAATTGTCCCAGGGAGCGGGTGGATATGAAAATGCATATTCAGGACCTCTCCTACAGCCAATCTGATTCGGTAAATCTACATTCAGACAGGGAATCTTTTTTAATAAGCATTCCCAAGTGATCCTTAAGTATTCTCAAAGCACTAGACAGATCTCAGGTTGAAAAAACTGGATTTCAAGACGAGGACTAGCAGAGCTAGAAGCTAGCCACACTTCTTTGTTTCCTCCTCCTGAGGGATTTGCCGGCATATACTGTGAGCAGTTTGTGCACGGTATGGCTACTTCATTTATTAGTGGCCCTAGCAGAAATGTCCTTGTGTGTTTATGAGGCCGTGGCAACCGGAGAAAAGGAGGAAAAAAGAAACGAAAAGGAAGAAAACAGGCATGGACTGTGGTTTTCTATCTTTGTGCTCGTCTCAGAGGTGCTTAATAAATGCTGAGGCCCTCCTACTTGAGAACCAGTGGCAGAGTCCACTTCGTTCAAGCCACAGACTTCTGTCTTGGCCGCAGCTAGGGCCACACAGGCCTCTTCTAGACACTCTTTGGATGCCCCCTCAGTGCCTCTCACCAGGCTTAGTTTTATCCGGCAAGCTTTCAGGAACAGTACTGTGAATTAACAGGGTACGTCCTTGAAGTAGCTCAAAACAGGCCTGCAGAGTGCTCCTCCCTCTTGCACACACACCGTCCCCAAGAGAACTCCTCCCTCTGGGCTCCACAACTGCCTGTGGCCTGTTGCTACATAAGCCTATCCTTGCTCTGCCTTCTTTCTTTCATGCCTTCCTGGAGAGTCCCTGGAGAAGATGGAGGAGAAGTTTCTGCCCATTTCCCTCCCTCTTTTGGGGCTGCACTGCCCAGACCTCTATCCAACTCACTAAGGGATTGAACATCAGAACTGCCTGGGTCTACAGCAGAGCGCAGCAGAGCTCAGCAAAAGCTATCTGTTCACAGCAGACCCAAGGCTCAGTAAGGGAACAAGGGGGAAGGAAGCAAGGGCAAAGGGTAGAGAAAGAATTGGACAAGACAAAGAGAAAGAGAAAAAAGCAGGAGATGGTGCAGGTCAGATCAGCTACCAAGGCAACTGAGCCCTAGGCTATGCACTATGGTCAGTTTGGCCACCAATAGGCTCCTAATTTCATGCAAGACCTGCCACCTCTCACCTTGAAAAATCTCTTCTGGGCGGCGCCTGTGGCTAAAGGAGTAGGTTGCTGCCCCCATATACCAGAGGTGGTGAGTTCAAACCCAGCCCTGGCCAAAAACTCCCCCCCCCCCAAAAAAAGGCTCGGCACCCGTGGCTCAAGTGGCTAAGGCGCCAGCCACATACACCTAAGGTGGCGGGTTCAAATCCAGCCCGGACCCACCAAACAACAATGATGGCTGCTACCAAAAAATAGCCAGGCGTTGTGGTGGGCGCCTGTGGTCCCAGCTACTTGGGAGGCAGAGGCAGGAGACTCGCTTGAGCCCAGGAGTTGGAGGTTGCTGTGAGCTGTGATGCCACAGCACTCTACCCAGGGAGATAGCTTGAGGCTTTGTCTCAAAAAGAAAAATCTCTTCTGAGACCCTATGCAGATCTGTGCATCACTACCTAAAAGTCCTTCCTCAATCTCCCAGTGTCCGCAGAAACAAATCAAACTCATGAACAAGGACTGTATCCAGTGCTGTCCAAATCCTCTCCATCCCTCCTCATACCCCACACTCCAGCCTCTCCAGTTCACCTGCTGGTCTCTAACAAGCCACTATTGTCATAGCTAAGTCCCATGCCACCATGCCCATGCTGTTTCCTCTACCTGGAACACCTTCCCCATTTCCCCTTTACGACCTTCCCAAAGCTTCTCCCATTGCACTTCGGGTGAGCCTCACTATGGCGTTCATTTCCTCTTGCTTTGTACTGCCAAGGTAAAGGTGAGTCTCATTTGTAAATACTAGCTTGCCAGCCTTTCTTCTCCCATTTTCCCTTCCTTTCTGAGGTTCTGCTGGCCTCCTTTGTAGTGAGCAAAAGCCCTGTTACATTCTGCTTATGGCCCCTGCTCTTCTCACCTGCAAAATGGGGATGGTACTTCTTGGCCTAGGGTAAATATTATTTTTATTTCACTGAAGAGATTTCCCAAGATGCGTATTAAGAATAATTTAACTAGGGCTGGGTGCACTGGCTCACCCCTGTAATCCTAGCACCCTGGTAGGCTGAGGCTTGGGAGTTGAGACCAGCCTGAGCAAGAACGAGACCTCGTCTCTACTAAAAATAGAAAAACTGAGGCAAAAGGATCACTTGAACCCATGAATTTGAGAATGCCATAACATGCTACCAAGAACAACAAAGTGAGACTTTGTCTTGAAAAAAACAAAAAAGAATAATTTAGCCAAGCTTGGTGGTATTAGTCGTACTGTGGCTCTGGTGGATCTGGACATTCATTAAGCAAAGAAGAGAACTCTCTTGTTTTTCTGATTCTGTTAAAACATTCCTTCCAGGTTACAGAAAAGGACCTTGTACAAGATCTCCAGCAGATGACCTTTGATCTCTGTCATAGCAAACCCTCCACCCTTGAGCTACCCCTGCACCACACCCTGAAGTGCTTTAAAAGAGGCCCCTTACCCTAACTCTGCACTGCTGCCATTTTCCATTTTTGCTGCAGATGCTTTTCGTAAATCTCTGCTAGTAACTCTACTTGGCCTGGTCCTTTGCAGCACCTTTCCATCTTTTGACATATAACAGGTGGCACACACCTGTAGTCCCAACAACTTTGGAGAGTGAGGCAGGAAGATCATATGAGCCCAGGAGTTCGAGGCTGTAATATGCAATGATCATGCCTGTCAATGGCAGCTGCACTCTGGCCTGGGCAATATAGCAAGACCCCATCTTTACAAAATAAAAATTGAAAATAAAGTGTGCAATTGTACACCTGTTGAATTATACAATTCAGAGATTTTCAGTATATTTAGAGTTGTGTAGCCATCACCACAATGTTAGAACATTTTCCTGACGCCAGAAAGAAACTCTGTACCCGGTAGCAATCACTACCCATTTCCTCCCTCCCCTATCTCTTGCCCTAGGCAATCAGTAATCTACTTTTAGTTTCTATAGATTTGCCTGTTCTGAACACTTTATAAATAGAATCTTACAATATGTGGCCTTCATTGTTTTTCTGTTTATTTCTTGTACCTAACATAATGAATTTTAAAGCCAAAGCTATTTTTTTTTTACTTTTCACTTATGTATTTAGACCTTGCCTTAGTATAAAAGGATTTAAGATGGCTCTTCAGGCTAATATTCCTGGGTCTTCCAGATTTCCAGCACAAATCTTAATACTCTAAATCTAGCCCCTAGAAAATGGCATAGGGATTAGATTGGTACCAGTAGGTAGTTAAGTGCCAAGAGATCCTGGCACATGAGACTTTTAAGTGCTAAGAGTAAATCAGTCCTGAGATGAGTCCAGAATGAGTTGAAAAGTCAGGAGGCATGCTACGCATTCTTGCCCTCCCAGGAATCCAACAAGGAGCGTGCCTTTATCACTTGTAGGCAGGACAGAGGGGTTGGACTCTCTGAAAGTGAGAGAAAAGGTTCAGAACAAGCACATGCTATCTCTGTTGCTACAGTTGTTACATATGTTAGCAGTATGATAGCTACTATTTATAGAGCACCTACTGTGTACCAGGTACTTGGTAGGGACTTCTTTATACATGTAACCTCCAATTTTGGCAACAATCCTCTAAGTTAGGTACCATTGACACCATTTTACACATGCGACTCAGCAAGATTTTTGTGACTTATCAAAACCACAAAGTATGTATGTTGAAAAACCAGAACTCATTCCTGTTTGTCTGTTCCAAAGGTCACGCTTTTCCGAATAAACCATAAGGCTCCTCCTACCCCCCCCCAATAAAAACTAGTAAGTAATTTCCCAAATTGTGCTTATATATCTCTTGATCTTTTTTAAAGTGCTTTTTTGTACACCAGCTCATTTTATCCTCACAACATCCCCATAAAATGAAGAGACATTATTATCTCCAATTTTGCCTGCAAGGAAGTTGAGGCATTGTGAGGTAACTGGCTTGTCCAAGCTTATACAGGAATTAGCACAGAGGTAATATTTCAATTCAAGATTCTTTGGGCAGCTTTCAAAGCCCCAAGAAAGTAAACCCAGTTGACCCCAGGGGAAGTGGAAATAGTTAGGCCATCCTTACCAGAAGGTCCCAGACAGGTGGGCTATGCAAGGCAAGCCCAGCTGGAGTTAAGGGGCAGCTCCCACCCTAGAGGAAGAACTTCAGCTCAGGTAGTTATCTGAATATGTGAGCCTACACGATTATCCTTCCTTGGAGCTTGTCAGGAACCTGTGAGAGCCAGGTTTGGTGGCCTAATCCTTTTTGTCCACTGATCAGAGGCTCAGAGCTCAGACATGGATTACGTAGAGCAGCAGCTATGCTCCCTTGCTTTCCCCAACCCTGATCACAGCCCTCAAGAAAATATGCAGGCAGGGGAGAGGGACAGGAGGGAGGAGGAGAGAGAAAAAGAGAGAAG